TAAAAGGGAGGAAAGGGTGGGAGAACTCATATACCTCATCATTTTTTCCTATTTGCCATTCCTGTCCACTGAACTCGGCTGTTTATTTCAGAGGGTGGTGGTTTTTAGACCACCCGTATATTATTAACTAACTCACGAGAGTAAGAGAATTGAAATAATAACCAAGGAAACATATATTTATTTACTCAAGTCAAGATTTAGGGTCTGAGAATAGAAGTGAAAGAAACTTGGAAGAAGAAAAGGCAGCCCAAGAGAGAAAATGGAGAGTTCTTGACTGTGAAAAGTCAAATTCCAACCAATGATCTGGACTACAAATACATGACCTTAACGATCAGCTAGATTTTTGCATGGACAGTAATTTTGTAGTTAAGCCAAACAACTGGCTCCAGAATAGACAAGTCTATAAATCTGTAATAAAGATTGCTTGAATATTTTAAAGGATTGTGAATAACATACACAAATTACTTATTTAATCTACATTAATCTAAGTCAATTTAAGTCATGGAGCTGTTACCACTAGGAAAAGAATTTAGGAATGGTTGAAATAATTTGTGATGACAATCCAATGTGTAAACATAATAAATATATACTTTGGCATTTGAATTTTTTAAAAGAATTAAAACTTCACAGATATAGAAATAATAATAATAATAATAATAATAATAATAATAATAATAAAGCTTCCCCTCCAATACTATTCCGTTCCTTCCTAAGGAGTGAAATGAGTTTCATTCACATTGTTTCTTTTACTATACAAGTAAATATCAATACATACAATCTATTTTTAAAAGTTATACCAATGGTTTTATACTTCATGTATTCCCTTCAACATAATGTTTTTGAAAGATAAATACTGTAGCTTTAGGTCATTCTTTCCTCTCATAATCCCAAAGCATGTGGCAATCTCCTGTTTTTAAAGTGCTGAAACCTCAGGCCTCTTTATTAGAGTGTATACTGCGATCTACTCCCTCACCTTATTGTGCTGTGTGCCCTCCTAACTGCGCTGCCCCAGGTCATTAGCACAGTGAGTCCATCACTCTAGCTTCAAATTGCCTTTTGTATCTGGAACTAGAGACTTCTCTTTTTATCTTGCTCCACTGAGTATTTAAAATTGTGCATTATATTTTAACTAGAAATTTTTTTTTTTTGGTAGAGAGAAGGGATGCCTGAATTAGTCCAGTCTACCATGTTCCTAAGGAGTTCCTAAAGCATTTGTCTGCTAACCAAAAGGTTGGCAGTTCAAATCCAGTAGATGATCTGCAGAAGAAAGATGTGGCAGTCTCTTTCTGTAAAGATCTACAACCTTGCAAACCCTGTGAGGCAGCTCTACTTTGTCGTTTAGGGTCACTATGAGTCAGAACCAGAAACTAATTCTGACCATTATGATAGTCATCAATTTTTCATTTTTCAAACTCATCCATACTTTTTAATCATGCAGACTGTGAAGGGTGGGCTACCTAGTCGAGAGAAGACTGGAGTTGACACACAGTACAAGTGATAAAGAGTAAGGAGAGTTTGTAAAAACATTTGCCACAATGGAACTAAGATTTAGTCTATGTGAAGCTGGAAAGCATACTTCTCAGTCAATGAAGCATATTGCATATTCATGAATATTTACATATGCCTACTTAAAATGCGTACAATGTAACTAAAAGATTAGCTGAATATTTCTAACTCTATGGTGAGTTCCTGGGTGGAACAACTGGTTAAGCACTCCACTACTAGCTGAAAGGATGACATTTTGAACTCACTTAGAGGTGCCTCCGAAGATAGGCCTGGTGATCTGTTTGCAAAAGGTCACAGCCTTGAAAACCCTGTAGAGCAGTTCAACTCTGCACAGATAGGGTTGCCATAAGTCAGAATTGACTCAATGGCAGCTAACAACAACAACAACAAATAATGAGCTAGTTAGTTACTATTACCTACTTCTTAACCCCTTCTTTTTTACTTTCACAGGCTGGTGGTTTGATGCATGTGGTCCTTCCAACTTGAATGGAATGTACTATCCACAGAGGCAGAACACAAATAAATTCAATGGTATTAAGTGGTACTACTGGAAAGGATCAGGCTACTCTCTCAAGGCAACAACCATGATGATCCGACCAGCCAATTTCTAAATGCTTGTACACATCTAATAAATGATTTATTGTACTGTTTTCAAAGACTTAATCCCAAAGCACTGAAAGACTCAACTGCACACTACATCCTTTTACACCTCAGACAACCTGCTTTTGGGTGCTGAAGGGATCAATGTGCTCCAAATTAGAACACAGCAATCTTCATTGCTTAAACTTGCATCACTTAAACCAAGCACATTCAAAACAACAACAACGAAAGTCCTGCCTGCTATCAAGATTTAATAGAACACCTGTGTGGAAAATAAATTGAAGTTTGAGAATCAGATTGACGATTTATGTATCTTGTTGTCACAACCAAGAATATTATGTGTGAGTTTATCAGTAAATAACTGGAAAATAGGACATTTATGTAATGTAGTACAGATCATCTTGGAACTGCATTCTTCTTACTGTTTAGATTGTGTAAATATCCACATCTTGAATTCAGCATCACTATTATAATTAAAAGGAAGAAAAAAGTAATTTTTTAAAATTCTCTAAGCCATAAAAATATATATATATTCAGGGATATTCTGAGAAGAGGTTGTTGTTGTTGCTGTGTGCCGTTGAGTTGGACCCGACTCATAGCGACCCCTCCTTGGGTTTCCTAGGCAGTATCACTACGGAAGTAGATTGCCCCATCTTCCTTCCGAGGAGTGGCTGGTGGGTTTGAACTGCCAGCCTTCTGGTTAGGAGTCAAGTGCCTTAGGCATTACGCTATGGTTATTTAACATTTGGAGAAGGAAAAACATAGTTAATGCATTTCAACTCCTATTAGGTGCTTAAAACTTTTGTCTTGAAAAACAGTTTATTTACATACATGTTGACAGCTTAGTTTTAAGTTACGCCCAAATATATATTTCACGGTTATATGGTAAAGACTCCCAGAAGCCCTAAAATTATCAATAGAAATGTGTCATTTTAGTTTATATGAAGATTGTACTACTTTTTTTTCTACCTGATCATTAAATATAAAAGGTATTTTTAGTAATTAAATATAACTTATTAGGTGAGATGATTATGTTTAATTTTTTTCATGACAATTTTGTAATTTGGTTCTAAAACAACCAGATTGTGCCTCATGACAAAGTAAAATCTGATTTTCAATTATGAAGAGAATCATATGATAGAAACTTTATTATCTTTTATTTCTATTCCAAGTCATATGTGATTTTTTCTCTACTAGTAAAATGTAGGCTACAATTTAATTTGTGGTTGAGACAAACTTCTATTTAAAACACTTATGAAGCTATTTTTCTCAAGATAGATTCACCTCTAATGGTATTAAAGGAAAAATAATTTGCACTAATATGATTATTTTTTATATCCATCAACAAAATTAAAAAAAATGTTTTGGAGTGAAAAAATAATTTCCAATATTTGTGGTATATCCAAATGTTTACAAAAGATTCTGAGAATATGGTTTTAAGCTCTAGAGTACAAAATCTAAACTCCCAGAATTTTAACTCTTTTTGAAATATTCATAGTCAAATTAATAATAATTTATACTTGGGTAATGCTTTATAATTTCGAAGCAATTTCTCACACATTTGCTTTTGAGTCAGCTGCTATTAAGCTTAGAGCTCAATTTGCAACCACTATTTACCTCATAGCTGTCTTCAACTTTGACTGTTTTGCCATTATTTTTTCTTTCCTCTATTCTTCTTACCTGCATTTATTTTTGCCTAATTCTCAACAGACTTACATTTACAACTTTCATGTTGCTACGTATTTCAAGTCAACTGAGGAACTCTGGAAGATTCAAAGCACTTTGCTTTTTCCACCATATTGTACTTTTCCCAACAAATACTAATTGAGCAAAGAAACTTATCTTAGAACAGTCGCTTATTATAGTTAATGAGGTTTCATAAATTCAACAATGGTATCACAGCTTTGTATCAAGTCAAAAACTGCTAATAAGACCATATCACAGTTTCAAAAAAGAAGTTAGTTTCTATGATATCTCCATGACCACAATGACAGATATTGAAAGTTAAATGATAATTACAGGAAAAATTGGCAAAAACTTTATACATATATCAATTCCCTAAATGTCCATGTAGGTAAGTAAAATGAATTTCAAAGACAAATCTAATTAAGTTATTAAAAGTTATATATACAGCCTATTTTTTACAATTTGCAGTAGTTATATTCTATTAAGTCTCCACGAATACTCATGTACTTAATCCCAAAGCAGCCTCGTTGACCTCAGCTGGGATTTTCACTGCTCTGAGCATACATATGTCTGTGTACAGGCGAATTAGTGAATATGAAATCTGAGCATAATGAGAAAGACTGTAATCTTTATGGCAGAGAATGGGGGAAGTTTGTGTTTTTACTTTATATTTTCTTACACAGTATTTCAAACAGAGTCTTACTGAGAGGAATTTTTACTCTTAGTAGTAAATTATTTGTAAAACTGAAAAGAAATCAAAATAGTAATCTTGAAAATAAAAACATTAAGTATAGTGACTAGAGAGCAGGATTCAATTTCTTGTTATGTTATAGTCATATTGTCTACTTAAAAAACTAAAAACAAGTCAAAAGACTGTAAAGAAAACTTTGTCTACAGTCTTTATCTCTTTCATATAGTAACCTTTTGAAAGAATAAATAGAACCAGTTAATTTTCCTGAAAAAAATCAAAGCCAATTTCTGCTTCCAACCAAAACTTTAATTACATACTAAAGTATTAATTAATCTCTTTTAAAAAACAAGAACTTGAAACATATTCATTAAATGCTTAGAATCCTCAAAAGTCAGTGAAATCGAAGCTGAATTTAGGAAAAACATTAAAACAAAAAGATCATATAATCATGCTAGCAATTCACAATTCCTTTATACCTGTTAGTTCTACCTTTATTAATAGTTACAGCATTTTTTAAAGCAGTAAGTAAAATATAGTATTACTTTCTCAATAATTCATTCATTTTTCATTTTTGTTTTTCTCAGTCCTGGGGATTTTTATAATTAGGTTTTTTTTTTTTTTTAATGACACTCTATTCTTCACTTCTTTATTAGCACAATGTTCTCACATTCTTTCATCTATTGAACATATAAAGCATTCAACAAATAAAGCATTTTAAATTACGTAAACATGTCTTTTTGATTATGAAGAAGAATAGCTCTTGTTACTATCCACACACTTAAAATAATTTCCTAAAAATAACAAATTGAATTTACAATCATAAAATAATATCTTACTTACAGGTGCTGCAGGGAAGTAGTTCGAAAGTTCAAATGGCTCCTCAGAAATCCAATGACCCATTTCCAAAGACCACAGCACCTACAAGTGATACAAAAAAACACAACACTTATTTTGGATTATTAGGTTTTTAGTAGGTAATAAACCAAGAATTATTTTGATGATATAGCAGAAACAAAACCAACCAACCAGTTTATTTTTCTGCTCACTATAACAAATAAACAGCAGCAGCTACACATTCCAAAGTTCTGAAATAGATGTGTTCTTGAACATCAAAGTGCCTTCAGAATCTTCACACTTCATAAACGTTATGAATATTAACAAACACTTGATTAAGAAAAAAGTCTCATGGTAACTAAATAATGTGTTATTATGGTAGCACAGTGCCTAAGGCACTTGTCTGCTAACCTGAAGGCTGGTAGTTCAAACTCACCAGCTACTCCTTGAAAGGAAGATGGGGCAATCTACTTCTGTAGTGACACTGCCTCAGAAACCCAAGGAGGGGTCGCTATGAGTCAGGTCTGACTCAATGGCACATAACAACAACAACATCCAATTGATGCCAAATATTTAAAAACTAACATATTTTTTAAACATACGCAATACTATATTTTTGAAAAAATTCCAAGTTCCCAATTTATGGAGTCATTTATAGACATTCTTTAGTAAAAATTCCAATTTAGGGAAAATATACTAACTGAAAAAAAAAAACATAGGAAAAGATGACAAGCTAAATTTCAAAAGTGATTCTTTCAGCTGTGACTTTCTCTCTAGTACTACACCAATATACTTACTAGAAAAAGTTTTCTATAATACCAGATGAAACCCATTGCCGTCAAGTCATTTTGGCTCATCGTGACCCTATGGAACAGGGTAGAATTGCTCCATAGGGTTTCCAAGGGGAAGCAGACTGCCTCATCTTTCTCCCATGGAACAGTTGGTGAGTTCAAACCACTGACATTTTGGTTAGCAGCCAGGCACTTTAACCACTGCACCACCAGTGCTCTTTTCTCTATAATATGTTTGAATATTTAAGAAGAAAATCCTTTTGAGACCTTGGAAGAGTAAAATATCTCATAAATAAGCATTTAAAGCTATTATTATTTTAAGCTATCAGTTCTTAAATGATCAAAACAATGCTTTCATTTCTAAATTCAATAATGATATTTGAGATTCTGTAGTTATCTCCACTCTATGATGAAACTCTGAAAATCTGTACATTTAAAAATCTATACTCTTAAAATTTTACAGATAAAATAACAAACAGAATTATATAATTCTGGTTTATTTTTATCTTCAATTTTATTCCTTACATTCAGTGAATCCATTTTTCCTTTTATCTATAAACCAAAAAAAACAAACTCACTGCCACTGAGTTGGTTCCGACTCATACTGACCCCTCCTTGGGTTTCTGAGGCAGTATCTCTATAGAAATAGATTGCCCAGTTTTCCTTCTGAGGAGTGACTGGTGGGTTGGAACTGCCAGCCTCCTGGTTAGCAGTCAATGCCTTAGGCACTATGCCATTATAGCTACTATATAAACTGGATGATCTTTTTCACTAAATTACCAGGAAAGAGGTTTAATTATTGCTTTTTGGGAGTTTTTATGGTCCAAAACCATTTATGGGATATGTCTTTAATACTTCCTTCTCTCTATATTAAACCTAGTACTTTTCCAGCAGGAGACAGAAATATTTTTCTAAGTGAAAGGAATATGACAGTAGAATAAATACAAACAAGAATAGGATATATAATCTAATTGATAGTTTTTAGCACTGACCTGGTCATTACTTTAAATAGATATATATACATATACATATACATATA